CTCCCATTGTTTTATTATGAAATGATATAAATCCCAAACATTTTTTAGTAAGACGTTTAAAAACTGGTTCATTTTGAGAGGGGTGGCTAGATAAGGCCTTTTAATTATATTCAGGAAAGGACATAGATAATGATTTTTACGTTAGTTACTAATCTGATTGTAATTTAGCAGTGAAGATTGAGATAAAAAAAAACGAGATAGCATATGGATAAAGCTTACTTGTGACAATATAATAATATCACAGATAGCGTAAAATTTATGGCTATATCACACATTTAAAATTCGAATAATTCTAATAAAGCAAAAGATAGTATTATGATTCTGATTACGATGGTATGGCTCAAACTAGATTCTTCTTGTCTTACGTGGCTACTATATTTCAACCCTACTTCTTCAGTATTTTAAAATAGTTTAATGTAAAATTGTACATGATATATATACATATATATGATACACAAAGTACATGATTATAGTTATCTCAAGAGACAGTGTCATATTTACATTAAGAAATGTTGGGTCATTAGTTAAACAAACTTTCTCTGAAGCTATCACAACGCTATATGGTATTTCGTGTATCCGGGTTAAGTAGGAGTATTTCAATAAACATTGCTTAATTGTCCGTTTGTCTGGACGCAATTTTCGCAGGTTCTTACCCCACGTCCACATGCACACAAACCTGCCTCCCTCGAAAGATGTAAGGGGGTATACTAGTTTCAAGCTGTATCTCTGGCCGTCTCTGTATGCATTATCTCAGGAGCAATTGTGTTTATGAAATATGTCAGGAATAAATGTCATGGTCTCTATCAAAGAAATTGACCTGAATCAATAAATAACCTTGACCTTTTAGGTTAACTCCTTGATTTTTTTGTTTAAAGTTGAATAATTGGCTACATCTGTGTTATTAATAGATATTTTAACTAATAGATATTTTGTATTCATACTGGACAACCCTTTCGGTACCTTTAAGTACGCCAAGCACAGCTCAACCTTGACTTTAATATGACCTTAATCTGTTTGATGATAAAATTATAGAATCTTGTTACAATTGGTCATTAATGGGTGAATTTGATTAATACCTAATTCAAGATAACACTAAAGCCTAAAACTGTCATGTTGAACAACTTTTGATTTTTGCTAAATATTGACTATGTATTTTATCTATTATCGGGTATAACAGCCTTTTGGTAAATATTTTAAGTGTGTCTTTCTTAATTTTACCTTGACCTTGGTATGTTCTTGCCCTAAATTGTAAATATTGTTTTTTTCTAAAATTGCAATTCTTATGTTATCTATTGACCGACTTTATCATACAAGAACAAACCAACACTTCACATTAAATATATGTTGAGCAATCCATGTACATGTTTATCTTTGACCTAAAATGACCATGATATCAAATATCGACTTATGAATGAATTGATTTGATTCATATTTGGACAAAATATTCACGTTAAGTTGCTGAAGAATGACCTTGACCTTGAATTGTCGTTGACCATCAAGGGCAAACATAAACATTGATCAATTTTTGTAGAACTAAGTAATATTTTTATTGATATAAAGACGCAATAAAATTTTTACAACATTAGCATTATTATTGCCCGATGTAAATATGAATTGTCTTTTTCATTAAATGGAATTTCCTACTTTTTTGGTTGGGGGTTGGGAAACATTCAGAGATAGTTCTATTTGCGGACAAATTTAGATGAAATTTATGTGTGATCACTCACTCATAGAACTATTTTCCAATTTGGAATTTTTTTTTCCTATGGAATTGTTATATCATTATATGACTGCTAACCAGCTTGTAGCAGTAAAAGGTCATTATAATCGTGCCAGTAATTTCTTTAAGTTGTCATGGAAGGGGATCTCTGTCGTGCAAAGAAAACTGGGAACCTCGTGAATCGGATCTGAGATTTCATGTTTTTGTCTGAGCACTGAGCTAAATGATCGAATGCTTCAAATAACGGTCTAGAGCTGTCACTTAGTGGTCGCATAGCTCAGTCGGTTGAGCTGGAGATCGGTATTCTGAGGTCCATAAGCTCGAGTCCCGGTCATACTGTTCCTATCTTATGACAATAAGAGAACAGAAATCGTCAAGTTCGTCAACAGAGAGAATGTTTGATTAACTTCGGAGCATTCTTCAACCAAAAGTGCTAGATTAAGCTGAAATCACCTCTTATATGCATTAACAGCCTTTTTTCAACAGTGAATATGTTTGTCGAAAGGACGCTATACAGTCATGGTATAAAATCCTTTAAGGAGCTTGTCAATCGCTGCTTAACTGGCATTATATCGTAATTAATATTAATATGTCACCATTCTATTTTAATCTGTGATAATATTATCCATTTAATAATGAATGTTAATACTGTAAGTAAGACGAAAAAACATGTGTTTATAATGTAATATTAGACTTTGTAGTCTGGAACATCTCCGGAAATACGTTTAAATCAAACATTGATATTCCCCATGTGTTGATGGCAAGAGTGAGACAAAATACAGAAATGATGTTGATTGGGAGTCCAGCTAAAACCTGCAATATAAAATAAAACTAAATTATATACACAGTCACCCTTTGACCATTCTCTTTTGTATTTTGTAAAGTTTTATGCTTCTTGTCAACTATTATATTTGCATTAAAGCATTCAAATAGTTACTAGACCATAAAGTGAACAAAATGTACCTGTTCAGTTTACAGTAAGGTGATCTGAAAATAATGTTTAATTATATGATGATACTGAGGAAGCTCTGGTGATTTATGCGTCTCAGTCAGGAATGTATTGTGTTTCAGTCAGACCGCTAGTAAAGCTGTTGGGGATATTGTTTTTGTCGTCCATAGTATTACTTGTTGGCCCCCGCGGGTATCTTTTAGTATACGAAACAGTACCCGTCCATGCAAAAATGTGCTTAATGGTACCCGAAAATACTAAGTGGTTCCCGAGAACCAAATGCGCCAAAATCGATGTCGTAAAACAGTGTTGGTATTTTTTTTTAGCTCACCTGTCACAAAGTGTCAGGGTGAGCTTTTGTGATCGCTTTTCGTCCGTCCGTCGTCCGTCCGTAAACTTTTACTTTAAATGACATCTCCTCATAAACCACTAAACCAATTTCATCCAAACCTCACAGGAATGTTCCTTTGGTGGTCACCTTTAAAAGTTGTCCAAAGAATTTAATTCCATGCAGAACTCTGGTTGCCATGGCAACCGATAGAAAAACTTTAAATATCTTCTTTTAAAAAACCCAAATAGCTAGAGCTTAGATATTTGGCATGAAACATCTTCGTGTAAGTGTCTACTAAGTTTGTGCAAATAAAAGCTCTGGGGTCGAAATTGGCCCCGCCCCAGGGGGTCATTGATTTTCCCTATATGCATATAGTAAAAATTTAATAAAATATTCTTTTAAAGAACCCAAAGAGATAAAGCTAAGATATTTAGCATGAGACATCTTCAAATGAGTGTCTAACAAGTTTGTTCAAATAAAAGCCCTAGGGTTAAAATTGGCCCCGCCCCAGGGGGTCATTGATTTTCCCTATATGCATATAGTAAAAATTTTAAAAAAAATCTTCTTTAAAAGAACTCAAAGAGCTAGAGCTAAGATATTTACCATGAAACATCTTCTAATGGGTGTCTACCAGGTTTGTTCAAATAAAATCCCTGGGGTCAAAATTGGCCCCGCCCCGGGGTCATTGATTTTTCCTATATGTTTATAGCAAAAACTTAAAAAAAGCTTCTTTGAAAAAAACAAATAGCTAGAGTTTAGATATTAAGCATGAAACATCTTCTAGTGAGTGTCTACAAAGTTTGTTCAAATAAAAGCCCTGGGGTCAAAATTGGCTCCGCACCGGGCGTCATTGATTTTCCTTATATGTTTAAGCAAAAACTTAAAAATCTTCTTTGAAAAAAACCAAATAGCTAGAGTTTAGATATTAAGCATGAAACATCTATAGTAAGTCTCACAAAGTTTGCTCAAATAAAAGCCCTTTGGTCAAAACTGGCCCCGCCCAAGGGGTGTCATTGTTTTTAACTATATGTGTATAGTAAAAACTTTAAAAAAATCTTCTTTTAAAAAATTCAATGAGCTAGAGCATGAATTATCTTCTTATGAGTGTCTACCAAGTTTGTTAAAATAAAAGCCCTTGGGTTTAACCTGACCCCGCTCCGGGGGCCTATATACAGGTGAGCGACCTCAGGGCCATCATGGTCCTCTTGTTAATTTACTGGCCTTTCCGGGGGGTCATTGTATTTCATTATATGTGTGTAGTAAAAACTTAACATCATGAAACATCTTCTAATGGATGTCTTCCAAGTTTGTTCAAATAAAAGCCCTGGGGTTTAAACTGGCCCCATTCCGGGGGCCTTTATACAGGTGAGCGACCTCAAGGCAATCATGATCGACCCTCTTGTTAATTTACTGGCCTTTCCTATCGGGACTATATTCTTTTTAACCCCCGACCTTCCTTATCATTGTTGTTTAGGCGAACGCCCTAAGGCCATACAAAACATAATACAAGTTTGCCTGTTTGACTCAATACATAATTTTGTTGCTGTTGTTGTTGTTGTTTCGGCACGCCTGGTTTATCTACTTCCGGTTTAACGACATCATAAACATAGGTTCGATGCTCAAATACATTTGTAGTTGATTATAGCTAGAATGTCTGAAGAAACTGTTTATATTTGTTGAAAAATATACTGCTATGCATAATTTTTTGATACAATAAAACAGCGGGGAAGAATCCGGTGGTCTTTTGTATTTCCGGGTACAATAAAGCAGTTTTCATGAGTGTCGTGGTAGTATGCTTCAATATACTGGGGGCCTACAAGTGGTACGGCGGACAATAAAGCAAATAAAATAAATTGTATGAACTGAGATTTCAAAAGATGTAGAGCATATACCATAAAAACATGATATTATACATGACGTCTGTTTCTCTTCTTACAAAAAATAAAATGTTATGATGAATAAAACTAAATTTATTTAACCTGAACTCTTTAGGTGTCAGCATCATTAAATACAAAATATTAACATTATTTTAATTATTTAGATATTTTATGCTTCATTATGAAACAAGTCTATACATTGGATGCCTTTCAGTTCTGATTCCTAGATTTCCACATAACTGATGGATAGATAGAATAACGAGAGAGTATGGTAGCTGATTGTTTACACTTCTGCTCGTGGCGTTGCCGCTAGCGACTACATGACAAAAACCAAACGGCGAGTTATCGCATGGTCGTCTTGTCGCTAGCGAATAGCACCAAACGTGCATTGTTTCGCAGCGCGCTGTCGTGATGACACATTATCTTGAAGAATTGCTCTATTGGCGCTTTGACGAGCCATGCGACTCTGCCATAAGAAGCCAGCCCTTCGATATAAGCCAAGCGACTCGGTGCCATGGTGACAATGCACCGCACGATAACGCGCAGTTTGTCGCGTTCCGCAGCGTCAAGACAAAAAGGCGATACCGATATTTGTTGTGTTGCACGCAACGTGCAAAAGTGTAACAAATCAGCCACCATATGCATACGAGAGCAGTCAGAGCACACTTACCATGTCTGGAATAGTAAGATAACCCGATGAGAATACGATGGCGTTTGGGGGCGTGGCTACTGGCAGCATGAACGCGAATGAACAACAGACGGCCACTGATATCATCAAATACATTGGATTTATTTGAGTCTGTAGGGCCTGTTGAAGCAGAAGAGAAATAATAATAAATTAATCACTACATGCATGAACAATCGAATTTATATTTTAGTTAGAAATTGACACGTGATCTTATCAAGTACGTGTAATATTGATTATTATGGCAGTCTCTATCATGTAGCTATTTTCTGAGCTATGGTTTGTCCATTCAGCTATAAAATCAAACTATTTAATTCATGAACCTCAAATTCCTTAGCAACCCAGTCCTTACACGGTTAATATGCTTTCAGTGGCGTAGCCACATTGATCAATAGAAAGTTTAACATGTATAATTTTGTAACGAAGCGTATACATGTATATAAAATGCATAAAGCTATATCTTATTAAATATATTTATACAATTTAACAGCTGTAAAATCTTATTGTTTCTGTTATCTATTCACGAAAAGGTTTTAAACATAGAATGTCTAAGTTATTAAACGCAAATGAATATTACATGTAAATAAAATAATATATACTCCGGAACAAAATATCATGTTATGTTTAACCGTTTAGTAATGCTTTCCTTATAAGGCAATAAACTATTATATTTCTTTCATACAAGCATTTTTGAAAATTCAAACAATAATTTTTGAGTAAGACATATTTTGTGTTTTATTGAAATGTACCTGAACTTTTGCAACCTGTCAATACCATCTACTTCAAACAATTACTCTATTAAATGTCGTTAACAAAACTTAAAGAATATAAATTTACAAGAAAATGTGCACTTACAAGTTGAGCAAGAATTGGCATGAGCAATGTAGCACTGGCTGTGTTACTGGTTACGTTGGTTGCCCCGGCAACGATTAAACATATGATTAGGTTCATTACCCACGTGTCCATATTGGCAAACACTTTCAGCTCATGTCCAACCCACAGGGATAAACCCGAATCCTAAAATTTCAATCATCTTTAAATTCTTTCATAATTTTCTTTCCTCAATTTATACTGAAATTTCTGTTTTTACTGTCCATCTGACTGTTCTTTTACCCTTTTTTGTTTCATTTATATATATATTGCAAAATCAATTAATTAAGTGAAATTAATAAGCTGGAAAATTTTCCAGGTGAGTGGCAGATATGCATTTTCATTAAATCATCACGGAAAAATGCTGATGCTGGTCAAACCAAGGCTCGAACATACGCCACCGTGGTTTGTATGTTTAATTGAGGTTCTCTTTACTGGGGTGATCTGGTGAGTGGCGTGAGATTATCATCTTGTGAGGAGATATTTTAATTTTTTTATTACCTTAAATATTTAAAGTTTTATCTCAGTCTAGTATCTCATTATTTAAAAATGTTATCGCAAATATACACTTAAACCTAGACGAGTGGTTACTATCATGTTACCAGCTATTGAAATCGACCTAAAATGTACTTAATCTCATGCAGTAACTATTTTTTTAGCAATTTGTATAGATAAAACATGTACCGGTATATCCCATGTCTGTGTTTTATACCAATGTTAAGTTATACGATATCTCTTAAAGCACGGATGTGGGTAGAAAAAACATATAATTTATCAAACATGCAGGGGAGGCAACTATACTAATACTACTGTGTTTACCTTCGGATAGGGACCTTGAAACGGTATTATGCATGTAAACAAATATGGTATGGTTAGATGTGTTAGTTTATCAATATATCGTGTACAATTCCATTTAACTAAGAAAAATTGGTAGTTGAACATATAATCAATATATTAACTATTAAATTGTTGTATACCGAAAGAACAAACTGTATGCCTATTGTTTAGTTTTAATTGGTTGACAATATAGGGTTAACGCACGTTTTTCCGTGTTATAACGTCTGCAGAGTCCCGAGGAACGGTTGGTGCCCGAGCCCGGTAGGGCGAGGGCTCCAACAGTTCCGAGGGACTCTGCAGACTTTATAACACGAAATAAACGTGCGTTGACGCTATTATAGCATAAAATTTTCAAACAGATTCGTGATGTATAGTTTATACAAAACACAATTACATTAAATTCTTGTGCTTGGACGGTATTTATCCAATTCTGTGTTTTACGTATGCGTTTCATTTTTCCGGGGCCAACAACTTGGAAAATTCTCGGAACCGATCGAAATTTTGAATTTTAATTGATTTAACAAAGCTTGGCCTTTGGAGATTTATTATCTCAAGAAAAAAAAAAAACGTTACATTACTCTACCCTCTACCCAAGACAAAACATGACCCTCAGAAATTCTTAGAGTGATTTCAGATTGACGGTAGAAAAAAGATCAGTGACATCAGAATCGGTTTTTTTTTTCAAGCAAACAAGTTTATAAAAAAATCAGGCACTAAGCATTATTCTCTCAAAGAAATATAAAGAGCATTTATCAACATTAACATAAATAAAAAACATTTTCTCATATAAGTTTTGTGTTATCTAGTTTTGTTAGTTAATCGGAGTGTTAAACTGAATGACAGGTAGATTCTACTGTATTTGTTTACATTGACAACTGTCCGTTTCTTAGAAAGGGCGACAACCAAGATTAGCACCGATGTCTATACGCCGTTTTCCGGCATAGTTACTGGAATATGCGACTGGGGCCCTCTCAATATAACAAGAGCGCATGACTCTTCGGCAAACAGGCCAAATCGTCATTTTTTGTTTGTTTGTTTACTGGGCCCTGTATGTATTGCGCATAAGTGAAACCGGGCTATAACAAGAGCGCGTGACTATGTTAACACATGGTTTTGGTCCCGTTATAACATGGGCAAAATAGGGGAAAATAGCCGATTTTATGCTATAATAGGTTTTCTTAAAATGATATGATTGTCAGTCATATTTTTTCCATATTAAACTTAACCGAAAAATACTTTACTTTCCGTTGGTTGTCGGACAATACAATGTAATGTGTTACTCATTATACAAAAATAACACCCTCTGTGGGAAGCCACGCGGTAGAAGTCCGGTACGATTATGAATAATCATCGAGGTATTCCGATTGATTTCTTGGATATAGAGTTACCTCTTTACTTTTATCGTTATATCAAAACTGACTTTTGACTTTGCTAAATTTGTAACATGATAATCATTTCCGTTCAAATAGAGTAACTGCCATTTCTGCAAAAAGTAACTACACGAAGTCGCCCTTGTGCCATCTACTAGTTTTATATATAATTACACATGGTCAGTAACTAGGAAGTGCTTACCTCACTAGCCTGTGCTATAGCAAAACCTCCCCCAAGTAAAACAATAACACCCCATGGTAATCTATCTGTTACCGACTTCCACTCTAGAATTGGCTTATATGACGGCTTTTCTGAAGCAGACAAAAATGTAACAATTTTCACAAAATGCAGAATAGATATTATAAGAATTAACTTTTATCAAATTAGAATTTAGATGTCTGTTATTTTGTTGCAATAATGTACAGCACTTATTGTAGTCAAATAAAAATCTTCATAATATTATCATCTTTTACCAATTCACTACCTTTTGATTGTCTCCCATGTCACAGTTGGTTGTGTCGTAAAAACAACGGGGTATATGTAAAACTCGTAATAATCATCATGAAGTATTTGGAAAGAATTTTACTGCCTGGTCGTTCCCTTAGAGTCCATTTACCAGTAAATACCATTGATGAAGGTGTTTGCAGTTTCTTGCAATGAATTATTGTTTTTTAACAAATAGAGAATCAAGGAATTCTCGTAAAGTATCTGTCCATTGATATGACTAATAATATGAGGCAAGACTCAACATAACAAACACTAAACCATAACCTACTCATTTAAATAATAACAACGTTATTACCTCCTTTAGCAAGACCAAACACCTTTGGCACTTCGGATGGCAATATGAAGAGAAGAACGCTTAGCAGTATACATGGCGTGGAGTCAGACACAAACCTGGAATTCCAAAATTTATCATTTTCTTTAGCGTACGGGACATCACCGCTTAACTCAAAGGCATATTATGTCCCAGAAATAAATAATATTTTTCTACTTAAGAAAAGGTAAACATGAACATTGTGTCGTTCAAATAATGATTTTAAAGCATGTTTGATGTTTATTTTCAAAAGAATGTAAGACTGAATGTAAACTTATTTGTCATAGAGGTAGCAAAATGTAAACAAAGTAATATTTTGACTTCATTACAAAATACTAACTCATTATAACTGTACTAATTTTAATAAGCAACAGCAGCAAAAGATGGTTAAGGCATATGGCCTTTGAGTATCTTTATGGAAACCATATCAGAACTATTGCAATAAAACAAAGATTTTCAAACTTCCTACTCAATCCGTACAATTTATTATTTGTCAATTATCATGTAAATGAAATGTTTATAAATGATATACATGTATTGTTTAAACTTACAATAAAAAGTTTTAAGACATAAGCAGTTACATTTATGTTATCTTAAACGACTTGTTATGTAAATTTTGTAAAATATGTAAACTAAATCTATTTGGAGAAGAGTTATCACTGTGTACATCAAAACTACTTGTTGAATTATTCACTTCTAAGTATATAAGTAAGTCAAAACTAAACGATAAAGACATGAAACAGTCATAAATAATTCATTTTACTCTTGATATATTGTGTGACATATTTTATTGTGAAGTGTCAGGATGGTTAACAAAGGAATAAACTATACCCCTTTTTGAGAGAGGCTGCCGATCCCCAGCCATCTATCTTCGGAGGTGCCCGAAACAGCCATAGAACCACCAGCACAACAAATACTATTAACACTTGTAATTCACAAAACCTGTAATGTATATTAACTTATACAACAATATTGTAGATATGTTTACTTGTGCTATAAGCATGTAGATATGATGACCGCTTCCCCCATGAACACTTAAATAATACATTGACCGTTTTCCCCCATAAACACTAAAATAATACATTGAACGTTTTCCCCCATAAACACTAAAATAATACATTGAACGTTTTCCCTCATAAACACTCATATTATACATTGAACGTTTTCCCTCATAAACACTCAAATAATACATTGAACGTTTTCCCTCATAAACACTCAAATTATACATTGAACGTTTTCCCTCATAAACACTCGAATAATACATTGAACGTTTTCCCTCATAAACACTAAAATAATACATTGAACGTTTCCCCTCATAAACACTCGAATAATACATTGAACGTTTTCCCTCATAAACACTCATATTATACATTGAACGTTTTCCCTCATAAACACTCAAATAATACATTGAACGTTTTCCCTCATAAACACTCAAATTATACATTGAACGTTTTCTCTCATAAACACTCGAATAATACATTGAACGTTTTCCCTCATAAACACTAAAATAATACATTGAACGTTTCCCCTCATAAACACTCGAATAATACATTGAACGTTTTCCCTCATAAACACTCAAATTATACATTGAACGTTTTCCCTCATAAAAACTCAAATAATGCATTGAACGTTTCCCCTCATAAACACTCGAATAATACATTGAACGTTTCCCCTCATAAACACTCAACTTATACATTGGACGTTTTCCCTCATAAACACTCAAATAATACATTGAACGTTTCCCCTCATAAACACTCGAATAATACATTGAACGTTTTCCCTCATAAACACTAAAATAATACATTGAACGTTTTCCCTCATTTACACTCAAATAATACATTGAACGTTTTCCTTCATAAACACTCAAATTATACATTGATCGTTTTCCCTCATAAACACTCAAATAATACATTGAACGTTTCCCCTCATAAACACTCGAATAATACATTGAACGTTTTCCCTCATAAACACTTAAACAGTACTTTCGACGTTTGCCCTTATAAGCAAAATCCAATACTTTTCGTTATGAATTTTAAAACAAAACATTAGACATCTTTCCCCTAAAGCAATTGACGCCTTCCTTCATGAGCACTATAACAATTCAGAATACAAATCTCTTATCTGCATTAAACAATACAATTCACCCCTTCCCTTATAAGCATTAAAACAAATACGCGTAAATTGGACGCTTTCTCTCATAAACATAAAACAATACATTTGACACACCTTCCTCCTTGGCACTAAAACTATAGCTTAGACGCTTTCCCTCATAAGCATTGAAACAATACATACCAAACATCCCTCATTAGCATTAAACGAATGCATTTGACGTTTTTCCTTATAAGTAGTAAAACAATACATTTGGCGTTTTTTCCTTATAAGCAGTAAAACAATGCATTTGACATTGTTCCTTATAAGTAGTAAAACAATGCATTTGACGTTTTTACCTTATAAGCAGTAAAACAATGCATTTGGCGTTTTTTCCTTATAAGCAGTAAAACAATGCATTTGACGTTTTTCCTTATAAGTAGTAAAACAATACATTTGGCGCTTTTTCCTTATAAGCAGTAAAACAATGCATTTGGCGTTTTTCCTTATAATCAGTAAAACAATGCATTTGACGTTTTTCCTTATAAGTAGTAAAACAATGCATTTGACGTTTTTTCTTATACGTAGTAAAACAATACACTGGTCGTTTTTTCTGATCAGTAGTAACACAATGCATTTGACGTTTTTCCTTATAAGTAGTAAAACAATGCATTTGACGTTTTTTCTTATACGTAGTAAAACAATACACTGGTCGTTTTTTCTGATCAGTAGTAAAACAATACATTTGACACTTCCCTCATATGTATTAAAACAATACATTAGACGCTTTATCTCATAAGCATTAACACAATGTATTTAATCCTTCCCTCATTAGCATTAAACAAATAATTAAGGATCTCATGTATAATGTCTTATTTATAGCCACCTATACTAAAATGTTACAACATGAAACTTAACTAAACTTTCAAAATAAAAGACCGAGATAAAGAAATGCTGGACATAGCATATACTATTGAGGCAAGCTAGTGAGACAACCGTATTGATCTATCTTATGCCAAACAAATGCCAAACAAGGTCAACATGAGTACTAATATCATATAGAAATAGACTTAACTTAAAAAAGATAACATATAGATATATTATAATCAAAATAGTGAAAATCTAACGTACGTCATTTTACCAAGTTCTTTAAGATGATGTGCAATGGATGCATTTATTGACTTCTTATGTCCCGGGTCTATTTTTTTACAACACCTGCGAAAAAAATATTTACATGTACATATATAATTCGTTACAATCGTTTCTCTTAGAAAGATTTTTTTTTAAAAAATCATTCTTATACATACTAAGAAGAATCTTTTTATTCATATTTTAAAGTGGAAAATTACAAAGTTTCAAAACAGAAACTGCATTATTTACCAATACGTTACTTTACCATGTGCTCGTAAAAGTGTATATAACATAAGCACATGACCTTATTATGCATGAAGATTTTTACCCGCATCGTAAAAACAATGTAACCAGCCATAACCAGGCGAGGATAGCTGTAATGACGGACAGAGGGAACGCAAATCCCATCCATTTAGCAAACGATACGTCCGACTCAGAACCAGTATGGAATTCATACAATCTAAAATAAATAGAAAAGTTGAACTTAGAACTCGGTACATAATTATCTTAAATTAACTTTTGTCGGGTTCAGAACCAGTATGGAATTCATACAATCTAAAATGAATAGAAAAGTTGAACTCAGAACTCGGTTTTTAATTAATAACATCTTAAATTAAAAATTGTCGGGTTCAGAACCGGTATGAAATTCATACAATCTAAAAAAAATAAAGAAAAGTTGAACTCAGAACTGTTACATAATTATTAATTCATACAAATGAATCTTAAATCAAAATGTCGGCGTCTGAACCGGTATGAAATTCATACCATCTAAAATAGAAATGTTGGACTTTAAATCGGCATATAATACATACAATATATAAGTTAGAAAAGCCGGACTTTAGACCGATACATAATCCATAAAATTAAATAGAAATAGCGGACTCTGATCCGGTATGTATTACTCAAACAATGTTAGAGTCTGAATCGATATACGTATAATTCAATGAAAAAGGAATTCTGTTCTCTAAACCGGTACATGTATATAATTCATACGAGCTAAAATATATTAATAGAGATTTTTGAAAGTTTTTTTTCTAAGATTATGGCAATGCATATTCGAGATGTGATTATATACAGCAATTTTATGGTGAATAACCCTATAGCTGACACTGAGGGTGTTCATTTATTTCATGGTAACTTACTTATCTATCTGTTGTTTGAAGACAAGGTTTGGTGGAGAACCTGTAAGTGTGGCTATTCCCCCAATATTAGCACCGTATGCTACACTTAAAGCAAACGCTTTTGCGAGACGCTGTAGCTCTGGAGGTAGGGGTCGTTTTTCTTCTACACTGGATATTCCTATATTAAAGTAAAGTTAAACAAAAGTCTTTTCGACTGTACTCAAAGAGAGGTCCAATGATTACGCAGTCGGGATACAAAGATCGTGATCCTAAAGCCGTCACCTCTTATTCATAATACACATGTAGACACACACGCAGACATAACTTAAAAATAAATTAAAATCTATTTTAAATTGTCAAAATTTGGAGAATAATCAGTGTGGATCTACGCATACATTGTGTTTAAGGGTAGGTAACTCAATTATCTTCCTATATTTTATGTACGTTTTTATTACTCCCCTTTAAATAATATGAAACGAATATGAAAAATATGAATTACCCCCGGCTGACTCTGTTTTAGACTTTTCTCTTAAAAGCGTTTTAATTTTATCACTTTCGTCACTGTATTCTTTTGATTCTATGCCATCAGTAATGTCGTCTGCATCATCGATGTCGTCTGCACATTTTGCCGCCTCCGCATCTTCATATTCTTCTGCAAAACAAAATGAATTATAAACATGTTACTAAAATCGTGAAGATCTACAATATTGATATTGACAGCTGGCGATCTGATTTATTGATATACCTCGTAAATATAATTTTACATCAGTTTAAAAATAATATTAACATGAATAAATTCTTTCAAATAGATTTAGATCTAGTTGTTCGAAACAAAAAAACGAAATTTCTTTAAAAACTAGACCTCTAGACCGTTTACACGATTGGATTTCCAAATTGGTACAATGCACCCTATTTGCGAAAGCTACTGCAAATACAATGAGCCGCGTCACGACAAAACCAACATAATGGGTTTGCAACCAGCATGGATCCAGACCAGCCTGCGCATCCGCGCAGTCTGACCAGGACCCAAGCTGTTCGCTTACCAACTCTATTACAAGTAGAGAAACTGATAGCGAACAACATGGATCCTGATCAGACTGCGCGGATGCATTGTATTTTTAGCACTTCATAGACTTTATTCCTCGGACCTCTGACTGTGCTGAAGACTTCACCTGTTCGCTTTTCACCGCTGTGGGTTCAAACTCCAACAATGATAGATTCTTTAATGCGTTCCAGCTACGCAGCTAGCTTAACCTTTTACCATGATGGGATTGTCTACTTACGTCACGATCAAACAGATTCGCGCCTGTGTCATATCGTTTTAAAGTAGGACTTCGGGGTTGTTTTTGTTGTTGTTGTTGTTGTTGAAAAAAAACTGAAGAGAATTCATGAACGTTTACCTTCGGCTTCCTCTATATTGTTGATGACAGCGTCTATAATAGGCAGCATCATAGAGGTCGCTGCAGTGTTGCTGATCCACATTGACAGGAACCACGTCGTCACCAATAAACCGCCCATTAATCTTTAAACAAAGGTTACATGTATTTATGTTTATTTACAAACTAAAAGTAAACATCCGTAAAACTGGGTCGTGAACGGTTATTTACACTTATATTGTGATTTAAGAAATAAGTCATCGTCTGTGATAATAAAAGCAAAATTCTCAAATGATGAAATAGTCAAAATAGTTTTGACATAAACGAACGATGGTGGTAAGGGATAACGCGAATTTTAAACCGTTTTATCAAGCTTTTTTATCGCATTTTTATACCTTAGATGGTAAAAAATCAGTATATGCTAAAATCTCAATTGATAATTGATTGAGCTTTTAAAAATGTTCGCACCATATACAAAGCAACAATTTACTAAAAAAGCAAATTACCTAACGTGATGGACGAATGTTGTTTAATTTTTATTTACAAAAATGTACTTTCAGTGGCAGACATTGTTTCTTTCTTCGCTCAAAACCGCTTGCACCACTGAAAATGTTTCACGATTTTAAATTGCTATTTTCCCAAAATGTGTCGCACTATTTTGGTTATATGTTTGTAATTAATGTATAATGTTACTTACAACATTGGTTGGGCACCTACTATCTTCATTACATATAAAGATATACGTATATGTAGCCTACTCTCTTCAAGTGCTCCAGCTATAATCAAGCCGCCCAGAAACAACATTGTTGTGTCCTGAAAATACCAGGAATGCAACAAATATCCTTACGTCATATATAAAAGCTTGGCTTACATAAAGCCGTTACTGTATGAATTCAATATTCATTTATGCTGGAAGTTCTTTCAACTGAGTGTAATCACGTGCGAGTCTGCTTCCTGACACTGGAAGTAACACATAAAGACTCATGACCGTTACCACAGTAGGATTTGAACTCACGAGCCCTTGATTGGGAGGCAGACACCTTTACCAAGAAACAAATGCTAGACAAAGTTCTTCACTGTATTCATCACAGTTTAGGTCTCTGAAAATTTTCGTTCATAAATACGATTTACATATCATTACTTTTTCAAAATTTATTTCCAATATTTTAAAATGTTCAGACGATCTGATCGACCGATCGCTTGATTGATTGATTGACTTTGATTGACTCAACCACTAACCTTGATGTATACTCCACTGATAACGGACGCCTTGACCACGCCTAGTAACGGGAACAGGAATATGGGCATGAGTGCTGTCACGGGGATCGGGACCGCCTCGGTTAGCCACAACAGAGCCATCACCATAATTACATAGGCGCATTTTGATTGCTGGAATTAAAAATTCACGTACGAATGTGTCACACTGAACTAAGAGTGTTTAATGAACTATATTTTTCACTGTCATAAAACTTGACCTTTGACAAAAACCACTCTCGTGGCAACATAAAATAACAATACAATTAGCGTCTTAAGTGCTCATGTTAAAAGTGTTAGTGTTGACTGAAATGTATGATGAAATGAAGTAATTTTCAAGGCTAAGATACCGCATGTCAATCTTAGAAACAAAAACCTGACATGTCGTATCTATAGTTCTACAAAAGGTACCTTACTGTTTATGGTGATATATGATGATGATGATGATGATGTTGATGATGATGTTGAATATGATGCTGCTGCTGATGATGATGATGCTGATGCTGCTGCTGATGATGATGATGCCCATTCTGTACCAGAACTAACTGGTAAAAAGTCTTGACTTCAGCATAACTTGCTAGTCAATTTTAACAGTATTAAGAAGCCGGGCGAATACGTCTAGCTGGGTGTTTAAATACGCGTACAGTGTACTTAATACAAATAAAGTGATTTAAACATAAGTTGATGATTTTTATCCAAAGTAATGCTGTGGTCAATTTTCAAAATACTCGTAAAATGTCTCTATTATTCAACACACATTGACTTTACCCAAATTAAAAAAAGATATTTCTTTTCAAATTTTAAAACTGTAATTTTGTAGACGTACAGGCAGCAGACCAATAGCTTTATATATTGGGATCACATGATCAAAAATCGTTCATTTTGTTCAACTAAGCTATGCGTCCATCTTCAATTTTCAAAATTACCGCCATTTGCAAGATGGCCACCAAGATGGCTTCCATAAGATGGAATAATAATACACATTAAAGGTAATTTAAAAAGTAGATTATTCAAGGGTCAATGCATCTTTTTTGATGCATTAACATCTGCAGAAGCACGAGGCCACATTTAAAGAGCAGAAGATTTAATAAGTCCGAGGGCTTAATGTATAAATTATAGTTCATTGGCCGGATACTAAGTTACGTTTGATATTAAGGACGTGTACCAATGGTGCGTGCTTGCATGCTTTTTGAAGTGGTAGAGAAGCTAATCTCCGCCTTCAATGTCGCTTTTTTCATTATGAAAAAAAATATCGAACCAAATTAATGTTATTGAAGAGAGATTCAGCAATTAGATGAAATCACAGACATAATTTACCGTATCATATTTTCGACATGCTAGTTGCATGTGTCTGCTTTGTTACGATTTTTCTCAGAAAAAAAGAAGACACAAATGGGAATATAAATGCCGCACAGTACCCCTGTAAAGGTCTTAAAAAGTATTACATGTATGTTCCAGTCGAATATAAATTTTAAAGTCTTCCTGCGCCGTTCAATGCCAAATTTCTACACAGGAACCACTGCATGGAATTCCTAAGAAAGCTTTACTACCAACTGGAGGTGTGTATGATAGTGGCATGTTCCGTAGCCGTGATTTTCCAAAAAAGTAAATACGCTTTTATGCATTAACCAAGCAAAAACATTCTTGACGCAAAATAATATTGCCTCGAACTCATCGAATCTTCACAGGCAACATTTAGTTGGGTTTTACGTGGCACCAACACAATATAGGTCATATGGTGACTTCCCAGCTTACTGGTGGAGGAAGACCTCAGGTGCCCCTCTGTGCATTATTTCAGGCACAAATGGGCACTGAATAGAAAACTACCGATTTTCTGTGTAAAGACTAGGATAGCTTTCTCACATGTAGACTCCGACGACGCTTGAGGGGCTCGGATCTACAGAGGTGACAGGCAAACGGTTTGAAGTCAAAAACCTTATACACTCGGCCACGGACGCCCAAAATTAAGTTAATAAAATGATTTTCAAAAGACTTGTGACGTAAAATGTTTTTTTTTTTGTGTAATGCCCACACCCTTGGAAGTGCATAACGAAACTGCTGTCGCTTTGCCCGCCAGTTGGTCCATACTTGCAATTTGACATCTTAGGTGTTTTTTGCACAGATTTACATTACGGTTAATATATAACTCGAGTTAAAGTGGGGTTAAAATAAATTGTAGGTTTTAAAAGATTAAAAGAATAATCTTGTAATGTCACGAGGCTGTCAGTTTGTAAATGGGACTATTTTTCAGCAATTGGGTGGATTTTAATAGAAAGTTTTATTGCTAAAAGGCATTTCCCAGGTGTTCCGATTCAATTATTATTCAAGAAATGCTTCTTTAAGGCATTGTTTCTGTTTGCCACACTGGTTAACTGTGACATGTATATAAATTGCACTAATTGGGAGTAAAACAACCCTCAAAAGCAAAAGTTCATTGAGTTTGAAAACAAAATGATTAAAATTATTTTAGCGGTCACTATGCACGTAGTATTGTCTTTGGTAATTTAAAAAAAAAATACACTTTTTTCCTTAATAATAAAAAAGGCTCTCTCAGATCAAAGACACAACTATTTTTAAATTCTCTGAAATATATGTGTAGCCATATAGGATATTTAAATATAAAGTCATGATTACAATAATATACTTACTCGTTCAAAATCTGGAGAATAATCCACAGCTAGGCTGATAGGGATCACGAATGCTAAAATGGTGGCTATGACCGGCTTCAAGGGCCAAATAGCACGTAAAATCTTCCTCATTTTCACAAATTATTAACCTCAGTGTATGTTATAATATTACTTTCCTTTAGTAAAAAGTGTGCATTATTTAAGTTATGTGAAAATGATCGTTCTAATTTACATGCACTTTTTTGAAGTTAAAGACGCACTTTCTTGTAGTTATAAATGCACTTGATGGCAGTTATGAATGCACTTCGGTGCAGTTATAAATGTTCTTTCTTGTAGTTATGAATGTTCTCTATTGAAGTAATCAATGAACTTTGATGTTTCTATAAATGAAATTCATTTTATTGTAGTTATAAATGAACTTTTTTGTATACATAAATGCACTTTATTGCAGCTATGAATGCGTTTTATTGTAGTTATAGATTAATTTTCTTGTAGTTATTAACGCACCTCGTTGTAGTTACTGCAATTATGGATGCACTTTTTGCTGCAGTAATAAATGTTCTCTCTTGTAGTAATAAACGCACTTGTAGTTAATAATACACTATCATAGATAATGCTATGAATGCTATGAACATTATATAGTCCAAAAAGTACATCTGTAACAAATAATCAACACTGTTGGCGTAAAGTATGTTGACACACTGTTTATATTTATATGATAACTGGATAAACGGCTGTGCCAATATATTTATGTGACCTATTACAGATATTGCCTCATATTAACGTCCGTCCAATCTGTCTTATTATACGTTACTTTTGTTTGCTTACTTGTTTTGTTTGTAGTTGCAATATAGGTGTTGTTGTTGCTTTTGTTGTTATTGTTGCTGTTATTGTTGTTGTTATTGTTGTTGTTGTTGCTGTTGTTGTTTTCTTATATTTTTTGGTGAAAATCTATTAAATGCACACATTGGCTTCATATAAGTTATTTTATACTTTTTTTCACCAAATATTCTGAACTGATATTAAACACTGTGCATAAATATATATCCGCACTATTTTTATCGATATTGTTTGTATTCGTAATTTAACTAATTTTTTTCAATCGTTGATTTTGTACACATTATTTATATAAAACACTTTCTTAAGCAATCAATGCAATAATGAACATTTCTGATTTCTTTAAAAACAGTCTAACGCCGTCAGAAATGAGTTTATTACATTATATAACGAAATGTTTTAAAACAACGAAACGTTCTTTAATTAAACGTAAAAGATGATTACAGTTTTTATGGACGCTACATTTCGTTGATAAATCACACTTCATGTAATCATGCTAGTTCTATATGCAAACATTAGGTCACCAGATAACTAAGGACACATATTTAAATACTGAGTTTAACCGGTTTTTGCTAGCTTTGGAGGTAATGCCCTTTAAGTTATCACAGTTTTCTGATCTTAAGGTATCTCATCCATCACTGTGGTTATAATGGTTATTTTATAAGTCACTAAAACTTCGCAAGCACAGAATATCATCCAAGTTCAGGTTAAACATATGTCTCAAACGTATGTCACATTTTTATAATTGTGAAATGAAGTATCTTAGTTACAATGTAAATGTCAATAATTTAGATCGATTTTCCCCTTTCAGTATACAGAGTGATTATACAAAAAAAAAAGAAACTAAATAACTACAAAGATACACGCGTTAATAAAAAATCATTGTTTATTACAACTGATAAAGTGCTCTGAACCAGTAAAATTATGTACATTTTCAAAATAGTTTTCAAATAATCTCTACATATCTATTCCGGTACAAGTCAATCCAGCCCCAAGTCAATCCGGTCCCAAATTAGTAAATCCGGCCCCAAGTTATCAAAACCGTCCCCTTTTTGTTATTATTTTTTAAGCCCTACTTTTTCTTCATTTACTTGTTCTACTCAAGAAAAAATATGAATATGTACAACTACGCCAGATTGGTCATACAAGGATGTACCTGAATACTGATGCAACAAAAATCTTAAGTGAATTCTTTAGTCACATCACGCATGGATAATTGTAATGCACTTTTATATGGTGTACCTAAAACGACGTTGAAAAAACTACAACATTTTCAAAACACTGCTGCCCGCATAATCACAAGATCATCCAGATTTAAACATATAAGTCCAGTATTGAAGGAACTATACTGGATTCCTGTGGTTTACCGAGTGGACTTTAAAATCTTTGTGCAAACTTACAACGGCCCTTTAATATTTATTTTAAAGTTTGACCGGACTACTACTCTTATACCACTAATGCAATTTCAATGAAACGTTACAGGCTTGATAGCTCAAGTGCTTGCGCATGTTACACAGGGTTTCCGGTTGAATAATTTATTTGGCTGAATCACAGGAGCTTGTCTGGATTACTCTTTAGGAACTACTAGTGCAATTTCATCAAAACTTTACAGGATCAATATTATGTATAGTTTTGCATATCATGAACATTTTTTTCGATTTCATTGGTTTTTTTAAGAGTTATGCCCCTTAAAGATTTTATTTTTTAATGTGTCCGGACTACTCATCTTATACCACTAAAGCAATTTCAAAGAAACAGGATTGATCTGTAGCTCAAGTGCTTGCGCATGTTACACGGGTTTTACCTGTGGAATTATTTATTTTGCTGAATCATGGCCCTTTAAAAAAATGTGTGTGCGTGCGCGTGTGTGCGTGCGTGTGTGTTTCTCAGAAATTACTGGTACAATTTCATCCAAACTTTAAAGGAATGATAAATACTAAGTCTAGTTTTGCATATAATCGGCTTTTTATGGTTCGATGATTTTTGCCAAAATTATGACCCTTTAATTATTTTTATTTTTGTCCGAACTACTCCTCTTATACCACTTATGCAATTTCAATGAAAATTTAAAAGATTGATTTGTAGGTCAAGCACTTGGGCATATTACACGGGTTTCCGTTCGAATGATTTGTGGCGGAGTTATTGCCCTTGAATAAAAAAAAACGCAACCCGTTTTGTCCTGTTAATGATTTTTGTGTCTCCTGATACACAGTAGGTGACATGTGTGATCACTGATCGCTCTTTTTTATCTTGATATTTTTTTAATTTTTTTTTTTTTTTTGCATGAATAGAAAAAGTTAATGAAGAAAAAATAGTGCTAAATAAATAATAATAAACTTTTTCTCTCCTCCCAACTGCGGGTATGTACATGTAGAGACGGTTCTCTGAAGGGTTTGTTGCGGATTAAGAAAACACAAGTAAGTCATAAAATATTTTCAAAAGATTCTAGTTTAAAAAAGGGTGCTTCATTTTTTTTCAGGCTATTACTAGTAAAGAAACATTACCCATGTAGACAGAAGTTAAAGCATTATCTATATGTGTTTACGAAAATGCATCGAATAAAGACATGAACAAATAATAAAGTTAATAAAGGGTTTTTTTTTCTACAATTAATATTTCTTTGTTTGTTGATTGATCTTAACCGTTTAACTGTTACTACAACAACAACTTAAATAAAACATCGTGACTACCTGAAAGAAGCAATTTAAGATAGTAAGCATACAACATTAAAACTGAGAAATCTATGGAACGCCATAGCTGCCTTATATTCACTTTTATCAAGTCGTGATGTCCTTTGGATAAATGGTGATGTCGTTTTATAGATGGTGCTATTGTTTTGATAGATGGTTATGTAATTTAGATATATGGTTAAGTCTATTTGAAATATTGTGCACTGATCGATGGTGTTGTCGTTTTTACATATGGTGATGTCGTTTTGATAAATGGCGAAGTCGAATTGATATATGATGCTGTAGTTTTGTTAAACGGTGTTGTGAGTTTTAAAGATGTTGCTGTAATTTTGATATATGGTGATGTCGTTTCAATAGACGGTGCTGTGAATTGGATAAATGGTTATCTTGTTTTGTAAGATGGTGCTGTGGTTGTTATAGATGGTGCTGTAATTTTGATAAATGATTATGTCGTTTTGTTAGATGGTGCTGTGGCTTTTATAGATGGTGCTGTTATTTTGATAAATGGTTATGTCGTTTTTGATAGATGGTGCTGTGGTTTTTATAGATGGTTATGTCATTTTGTAAGATGGTGCTGTGGTTGTTATAGATGTTGCTGTTATTTTGATAAATGGTTATGTCATTTTGTTAGATGGTGCTGTGGTTGTTGTAGATAGTGCTGTAATTTTGATAAATGGTTATGTCGTTTTGTTAGATGATGCTGTAATTTTGATAAATGGTTATGTCGTTTCAATACACTGTGCTGGGGATTTGATAAATGGTTAGGTCGTTTTAATTGATAGTTCTGAGTTTTTTTATAAATGGTTATGTCGTTTTGAAATGTTGTTATGCCGTTTGGTATATAGTTATACTGATTTGGTATATGGTGCTGTCATTTTTTTACATGGTGCTGTGTTTTTTGTACATGGTGATGTCTTTCTGAACTGTGGAGATGGTCATTTACTTACATTTACTTATTTTTGAGAAAAATATGGCAAAACCTCCTTTAACCCTTTACCTCATATAGACGTGATTTGACGGCTTGTCGACCCCCCCCCCCCCTACCCTTTTGAGGCCTCAAGACAGTACAAAATGCCCTATTTAAGCCCTAGACACTGTTTTTCGTTTGAGAAATGTTGTTAAAAAATGACCATATTTTCGGCGCCGCCCCCATCAAAATGGTACATCAAGGGGTTGTCAGAAAGGGGATGTGCCCCCTTCTGTTTGTGGGGTTTGAAGGGGGCGACAGTCCCCCTAATCGCCAAGAACATTTTGGACATGTGACAGGCTAAAATGGCCTCAGGTCGATCGTAAGGTAACGTGTAACCAACGCTGAAAAGCCTTTTGCTCTATCTCAATCCATTTAGAAGTTGCAGCACTTGAAATCAGTTTTGATGGAAAAAAAAACAATGCAAAATAGTGATTTTTGGCAATTTTAAGACGTTCCCCCTTTGCCAATTTTACAGGAAATTTAAGATTGAGCATGCTGTTACATGTACAGAGGCTATTGTCCAGTCAACATTTGTGCCAATTTTCATCAGTATCGAAGCATTTTTCATAGTTCCATAGCAATTTGAACTTGTAACAGGAGGCTTTCCAATAAAAAAAGGCCATTTTTGACAATTTGCTCATCAAGGAAAGGGTTAAATGTTTTTCTCTGAGATTAATAAATTAAAATTAAAGTTGAAATGTTTAACTGGTGGAAAACAAGGGAAGCAATTTTGAAAAACCTTGGAATGGGTAACTTGTGGACATTGTTTGAAAATGAAAAGATCACGCCTGATTTTGTCTGCAAATTATCTATGCAGGAAATGAAATACTTTAGGATAAATAACAGTCAAGATATGATGAAGCTCAGATAAGAGTGTATTGAATTTGTCGGAAAAACGTCTCCATTTTTTAAAATAACCAATCAAAATGTTCCGGTAAACAAACAGGTCATCTATAAATAGTTCATCATCATCGTAATAAAAAATCACAGAATCATACATCAAAATAGTATCACCGTGTATAAAACGAACATCACCACATAGCAAAATAGTATAACCATTTATAAAAAGAACATCACCACATAGCAAAGTAGTATATCCATTTATAAAAAGAACATCATCATGTAGCAAAATAGTATCACCATGTATAAAAAGAACATCACCACATAGCAAAATAGTATAACCAATTATAAAAAGAACATCACCACATAGCAAAGTAGTATAACCATTTATAAAAAGAACATCATCATGTAGCAAAACAGTATCACCATGTATAAAAAAAAAACATCACCACATAGCAAAATAGTATAACCATTTATAAAAACAACATCACCATACATCAAAATAGTATAACCATTTATAAAAAGAACATCACCATATAGCAAAATTACAGCACCATTTATAAAACCAACATCACCTTATATAAAATGACACCACCAGGTACCAAAGTGACACCACCATATATCAAAACGAGCTCACCATTTATCATTACTGCAGCACCATGTATAAAAACAACATCACCATATATATAATTATATCACCAATAATCAAAATGACATAACCACCTAACAAAACCACAGCACCATCTGTCAAAACGACATCACCATTTATCAAAACCACAGCACCATTTACTTAAACTACAGGACCATCTATCACAACTACATCACCATTTATTAAAACCACATAACCATTTATCACAACCACATCACCAGCTGACAAAAGGACATGACCACTTTTGAAGTGTTTATATAAGGCAGCTATGGCGTTCCATAGAAATCGTATAATACGAAATGATTTATATACAGTATACAAATGTAGTTTGAAAATCCTTTTTAAATAAATACCTCATTGATAAACAAACAAAAAAGGAGAAAAAAAGTAAAATATCATCTGAAAAATAATAATTTAATTTAATTTAATATATTTTGAAAATCTGTTTTGGGGCCGAATTTACCAATTTTGGGGCCGGATTAACCAATTTTAAGGCCGGATTCGCCGATTTTGGGATCGCATTGATCACATAGAAAGAATGTGGTGCCGGATTGACTTATTTTGACATGGGACCGGGTTCACTTGGGGCCGGGTTCACTGTTATTCATCTATTCACTGTTCTTATCGTTTTTTTTTTGTTGTTGTTGTTTTTTTTGTTTTTTTTTGGTTTGTTTGTTATTTTTTTTTTTTTTTTTTTTTTTTTTGTTGTTGTTTTTTTTTTTTTGGGGGGGGGAGGGGTATTTGTTGTGTTTTCTTTCTTTTCTTTTTTCTTCTTTTCTTAAAAGATTTTGATATATTGCAACTACTATTCACCTTAACTTAAGTTGAATATACTAACTGATAAGATTTTTTATATTCATTTGTGAACTTTTGTTCAAATTGTATTAATAAGTCCGGTTAGGTTATATAAATGGTTTTACACAAATTACTACTACGTGTACATGTCAATGGGTGTTCAAGTCCCGCGTTAACTCTATATAGTACTCCGAAATGAACAAACATGTACATTTATACTATAAAGTGTCCTTAAAAGAGGCCAAATTGTTTTGAAAAGGCAATATAACTGCATTTGTCATACTAGAAAAAAAACAATTGTTAAAGACACAGAATATCAAAATAAATCATAATGGAGATGTGTAAACGTTCTCCATCTGAGTGAACATGTGTTTCAATAAGATTTCTGAAAATTGAGTAGCAATAAACGGAAAATGTTAGAAATTGCTCAAGCTGTCGCCTTATAAAGTCACTTAAGTTCATCGGCATTTGACCTTGTCCTTTTATAGATCCTTAATAAATTGCTACAGTTTTGATAACACAATCGAGGTCTTGTTTACTTTTCTGTTTGAAGTGGCCAGGGTTCAACATAATATGATTGAACCTTTAGTACTTAAATCTATGATAAGTAGTAGTTGTGTTGTATTTAAAACATAGTTTATATTTTATAATGATACAATTTTAATACCGTTATCTTTAAGTGGGGTTTGAGATTTAGACCTCGTTTTTCTCTCTTAGTATTTATAGCACTCTTAAATTGGAGAAGAATTTTATAAGATTTGATATATTTCGTTCTAATACATTTCTACAGTGTATAGATCTGTATATCATGTATTGTGTATGTTCCAAATAAAAATATGCTTAAATTTAAAATAACTGTCATAAATATCATGACATACTAAATAGTAAAGAGCAAACATTTCATGGGAATGAGATAAAACAAGAGTGTCATGTTGGTGGCAGAAGATCGCTCAAACAAAGATCTTACAGTACAAAAAGGTCACTATTTTCAACGCAGAAGTAAGTAATAAGATCACATCGGTTCTGTCGGTTTAACACCAGCCACATAGTTTATGAAATATTTATTAGCATAGGTTCTCAATGAAATGATCTTGACATTGTAGGTTTCTATATAACGTTTCAATGCAACTTTATATATCATTAGTTATATAGATTTTTGACAGGTTATATGGCCCATATAAACGATTGTTTGGTAATATAACCAGAGCCGCTAGGCGATAGCTATATTGCAAACAACCGTTTATATACGGTATGATTTCTATCTCTTGTAAACTACTTTTGCACCAGGCTTGTCATCATAGATCTGGTCAACTTTTTACTAAACTTCTCTTTGGTAATGGAGGAGATATTGCTTACAGAAATTATGGGTAACGAGGAATGGACAAAATTTTGTGCTCAGGTGAGCTTAAAAAAAGAAAAGTGCAATTCAAAAAAAATAAAAATATTGTAGTGCATTTCATCTCTGTGTATATATATAGTATTCTGACGTAAAAACGTTTTACTTTATTCATGCGTGTAATACAGATAATGTTAGAGATATCAGCCAGTCAAGTAAACAAAATATAGGGCAAAACGTGGTGTTATAGTCTAGCATTTCAGAAGAATAAAAATGTAAATACATTAAATAAACCTGACAATTGTCCATACAAGAAGTTCAATGATAATGTTTGTTGGAAGAAAAAATTAATAAAAACAGATGACATATTAAAACAAGAGACAAGGAACTTGATCAAAATCAGATATCTCCGCCATTATCACATGTTTATGTGGCAAATAGAAACCCCTTTTTATTGAAAGCAAAATCAATTAAAACACGTACGATTTAGACCGAAATACAGTTTCCTCGTGTATTGTGTCCGAGGTTCTTATCCAAAGTTTGACGGAAAGGGCAGAGAAGATGCGATTGTGTATTATTCTTTACATGTTTTTTTTTTCTGAAATTTTGAAATTGACACTTTTAGAAATATTTTAGTACTGGCAAGGATATATTCAAATAAATGACATTTGATGCGCCAGTATCATAATGAGTTATTTTTTTTTATTGTCACGCCATATAACAGAATGTTGTGAAAGTTGACTGATGTTGAGATGTTAGCAAGACATGCTCTGTTATTAAAATCCATTCTTGCATAAAAACTGCGCACGCATGTATATTTATATGCATAAACGGATAAAGTCACGTGAGTTTGCGTTGTTATTGCACGTTTTTTTTTATATGCGTGCTCATGGCGTCATGTAAAAACACAGCATTGAAAAGCAATATACAAAAATAGCGCTAGTGCACTTTTTCGTGCATTACCTCGGTCTTCTTAACTCCCTCGACCTGAGGGCTGCAACCTCGTGTTTTTCCAGAATGCAAGAACAAATGTGCATTTACCTCTACTGTACTATAAAAAAAAGAAATTGTATATACCTTCGTTATGTCCTTTCAAAAATTGGGCCCATTTGCCAACATTCATCGTTCTATCAAATTAAAAACTAACAAATGTTTACGTTCAGTGTCATCATACGACTTTTTCTTTATTTCTTGTTGAAACTCTTTAAATTCTTTAATCAGGAAACAATTTATTTGATTTTAAAACAGCTATACAACTTTCCTCCATGTTCACACACAAACCGAGAAATGAGGAAACACAAACTTTTCGGATATCAAAATCAAAACATTTCATTTTTACTAAGTTAAAATATATATAACCAATCAGCTTTGACGTAGGAGAGTCTACTCTTTGTAAACACTTGTAGAACTGGGCATCGCACTCGCAGTGGCTTATGGGTAGAACGCTTGGATTTGAATAAAAGTATCTTGTCTCGAATTCTTTAATGACAGGTTTACACAGGTCATGTGACCTACAGCAATGGTCTGTATCCGATTGTTCCCCTAAAATGAAACAATTATGAGCATTCATCAGCATCAACAATTACCTATATATAGCGATTACGTCCTATCATTAAAAATAAGCCTTCTCAACAATACATTTCTACTGATTTATTGTTGTTGTTGTTGTTGTTGGCTGCTGCTACTACTACTACTACTACTGCTGCTGCTGCTGCTGCTGCTGCTATTATTATTATTATCATTATCACCATCATCGTCGTCGTCGTCGTCATCATCATCATCATCACCATCATCATCACCACCACCACCACCATCATCATCATAATATTACTATTATTATTATTATTATTATTATTATTATTATTATTATTATTATTATTATTTCCTAACTTATTTAAAATAAGTATTCAAATTCGCATATTGATAGCAGAAGTCATTGTGTCAAGCAGCTGTTATTTCCCTTTCAAATGAAAAAAAAACAGAGCAGAATCTTTAATCTGTATTATCAGACAACATCGTGCCTCCTAGATTCTTACTTTATTTCCAGTCTGAGATTTACATAAAGAAAAAGTAAGACCATGTTTACTTGCAGTCATTTCAAATATACGTGTATATAATTTACTTATGAATTCCTTAAAGTGGCATTATACCTGTCAAACTGCATACAGTGAGCGAACAAGAGAAAGTACTCATTTGCCGCAATTCCTTTCAATTCGGATGATCGGGAAGCGCAAAGAAATTTCAATATATATCCATCGGAACTTTCTTGTAACGTTCAATTTATAAAATAATGGGTGGGATACTTTTTATATTTTAGAAACATAAGTAACTTCAACTGTATGCAGAAAAATACAGTCATTATATTAAATGCATTGAGTTGATTATCAAAATGCCAAGTCATCAAAACAATTTATATTAAAACATCATAATACCATAACTTTCCAAAAGACATGCACTCTCATTTCTTTCTCTTAAATTGTTCTGCCTGGAATCTCTTCAACACGACTTTTTCATTTTACATATATCTATGTTTCGAGATTTGTTATACATACAGGCAAAATTCAAACCTGTCATCAAATCTCGTTCTTACTTTCTGAACAAATTTAATGATTTCTTACCAACTTGACCGTACACATCCTCTGCCATGTTACCAAAGCTGCACGGTAATGTACCGGGAAATATACCACTGACCAGTGTATAGTAGGACCATGCCTTCTTGCCGTTCTCGAAGAGAATTCTCAGTTCCGTAGACTCTACTTGTCGCTCACAATTTCGGAGTACATTTGTTGTCTCTAAAATGTTGTGTGGAATCTTGTCTTGAATTTGTATCCTGTACAATGAACCCCCGACTTTGAGACGGTAAAGAGTGATACCAGGTGGACATTCTACTGAAGAATGTGTGCGTATAGTATCAATCAACTCTTGTTCCGGAGCCTTGAATACATGTATCATCAACAATTTCAACAAAGATAGGAGACAAAATATGGTGGAAATGTAAAAGGACCGCTTTCCCATATCTCACCGACGGACGGCCATATTTGTTCCCTCCAGGAAATGACGTAACATTGGCGTGCCTTTTTTTTGGCGCCAAATGATGCAGAGTCCTGCCAAGTGGCTTATAGACAATATAAAGAATAATTATGTGATTTGATGGTAAAAGCAAGTACTGTTATATTGAAATAAACATGTTATATTTGTTATTAAAAAACAAAACAAAACTAAAAAAAACAACAAAAAACGCAACCAGTAACACGTGTGCATTACTCGAACTTAAGTTATACAAAATAATTTTTATGTTGTATTGTATAAACAGTATGTTATTGGTTTTTTTAATATGATGCTTTACATCACATTAATAAAGTCATAACTTATAGATTACTTTATCCCTTTACTGCTTTTCAACTGTTAAGGGAAATCATTCTGTATTATACATTTCATAGTTACAGACTGTAGTTATCTCCCCGTTCAGATAAAATAAATAATTATGACGAGGAGGATAAAGAGCACGGGCTCGTGAGAATACAGCTAAACACGATACAAATCATGAGAATAACATAATCAGGTAATATTCTCTTTATATTTAAATTTATCTAAGAAATGATTTTGAATATTCCATTGATTCAACCATAGACATAGATAACATAGGTATATAGGAGCTGCTTATCTCTGTTATCTATGTCTCTGATTCAACAGGAACGTAAAATAACATAATGATGTCCTTCGTTCATTCAGAAGCATATGGACTGTTAAAACATTTTTAAATACGCAATGTGTCAAACAAAAAATATAGATACAGATAGTGTGTGCTCACCAAACCGACAGGTTCGTAAGTTAAAGGAATAAGAATGGATGGATTGATGTCTGTCTAATATAAATATTCATCATTTAAAAAGAGGATCCATGACAGTTTTCCTATTGACATCAACCATATAAGAGAGAAATTCGTGTTTAAAAACACCATTTTTACATCGGCGTTCTTAAGGCGTCCTGGAAAAATGTAGTATGCCTTTGTGTGGCATCGTAGCAATTTAAGGTATTACTATCCTAATGCATTACCTCCGCTTTGAAGAGTATTCAAATAGGGTAACTACTGTTAACTACAGTGAAATGAGGGCCGTGGGTTCAATCCCCAGAAGGGTCAACTTTTTTTTCTTTCTTTCTTTCTTTTAACATTATTTATGTATCTCTCATGTCCCCTTTGGAAAGAAAAAATTGTTTTATTTTGATTTTTTAATTTATATAGGTATTTCTTGGCTAAATTATGCTAAATCTAGTAATAAATATGGTACCTGATATTTTCAAAGTGTAATAAAATCAAAACTAGACGGTAAAAGTATTTCATATTTTACAAGACCAACCAATATACTTTTTTTTAAAATTTAGGGAAACTTTGAAAACAGGCACTCATTTGGGTAAATTTTAAGGATTTTTTAAATTAGGCTCCCTAAGTAGGAAAATGGCCAGACACGTGGTAAAAACATTTTTCATTAGAATGTTATTGCAGATTATTTAAAGGTTCCTCATTTCTAAAAAAAATAGGGCCCTCATAACATCCTAGCTTGAGTTCAGAAAAGTGGCCATAACTTGATTTCCGTACTGTGCATACCTGTAGGTGTACTTTAAGAACTTTTAGAATACGAATGATATCAGTGTTATAGAATATGATTGGATTTGATATGATACTTTATGAAAAGATTTGATCTGATAAGATACGACAAAATTTGGTGTGATATCATAAAAGTTGATGTAACAGAATATGGCAGTATTTGATATGATTGTTTGGAGTTTCTTCTTAACAGCAATATAAGGCACAAAGCCAAAGGAAAATGGCATCGAGAGGTGTTATTCCGTTGCCGGATTAGACTTTGCCTTAGTTTGTAGATTCTTCTTTACATCAATTCAAAGCACGAAACTCTAACCTAAAGAAATATCATTTAAAAACCCACATGATATGGTGGCATGGTCGTTTTTGTTTGTTTATTTTTATTTGTTTGATTGTTGTTGTTTGTTTTTTTTTTTTATCGGAGATTTGTTCTTTCTGTATATGCTTAGATCAAATAGAAATTTCGCAAGCTTAAAGTGTATCAACTTTGGTAAAATAACACCATTAAATTTTACTGGAGGAAACCGTTATTTAAAACACCAGTTGAGTGATTCCGTATCGGATAATAAATCGCATTAGTTTGGAGGTCATTTTTTTAAAATATCTCTATCCAAAAGCAAAATGACATCGAGAGGCCTGCTTGGCTTTTTTTTCTTTTTTATTGATCAGTGATTTGTTTTTGTTTTGTTTTGTTTTTTAACATAAACTGTATAAATTTTCAAAAACATCACCACATTCTGGTGTGGAATGGTTTTTTATTGGCATTTATAAAGTATATATGGCGACATAAAGCATGGAAGTTTTAAATCGTGACGTAATCAACTGATGTCATCCTTGTGCACACACTGTGACGTAGTAACTTCATTCAAGATCTATTTCATTTAAATAAAACCAACAAGACTTAGTTACAACATTTCTTCATGACTCTTTTGTGGACCATAAACTATGATAAAGAAGGAATATTAATTTCTACATACATCAAGATTCAAACAGCACTTAGCAGGTATAGTTTGATTTGTATTCACTTGTTAATTACGAATATATTATTTATAGCACAGACACTTGGGGCGTTGGGATCCAAATGCCTTAAGCGAAATCCAAATAAAATGTAAAATTTTATAGATGTTGAAATATGATTTTTTTTCCAAAACAGCTTACATTAAGATTTTTTTAAATGTGGAGTTCCAAACGCCTCGAAATCCAAATAAAATGTATTTGTCATTCAATCCCAGCACATATACTTATCATATTATATGTTATTTTGGTTTTGGAGTGATATATGTGGATATATTACCTGTTAAGATTTTATATCACCCGAGCCGTTAGGCGAGGGTGATATTTTATCTTGGCAGGTAATATATCCACATATATCACTCCAAAACCAAAATAATAATTTTATTACCCTTCCCCTGCCGAGTTTAGACGATTTTTTAAAAAAATCATTGCTGTTTCAAAATGAAACGTCGAAATAAGATTCCCTTAGGGTACCTCTTCGTCACAACATGACGTCACATAAATACATGACGTATTTTTTCCCGTACTAACGGATGTAAACAAGAGAAAAGGAGTAGTCTATTGAACGCACTTTTTTTGTAATTAATATCAAGCTTTCACAAAGGTCATATTTGTTTTCGATACTGATGGTAATATGTATCATTACTCTCTACTTTGGGTTATTATTTATCATTTGACAGTTAAAAAAAGTGGTTTTTAAATCGGAATTACAACCGCGTAAAATCGAACCGTACGCGCATCACCTCCGCGCATGTTGTTTACAACGTTGGGTACCCAACAGGGAAATTTAGTGTGTATATTACCCGTCTGGCTCGGTTATATCAATTTCTTTCGGGTGATCAATATCCAATCAAAAAGGCGGAAAAAATCTGGAAGGGTAATAAAATATAATATTATGTTGTATTCGCTGAGATATTGATGCCCGAATACATGTGTATGTTGCCTTGGAATAATTTAGAATTATACAGCATCAAGTAGCCAATTTACAGATTAACATTTATTGAAAATTTTAAACAAGTATTTAATACATGTATATTCATAGCAATATTAAATAGCAAACAACAAAATGATAGTGTCAATCAATGATAATGCTATAAAAGCATATTCTTAATAAACTATTTGCATTTCACAAGTAAATCTATAATAACAATTTTCTTTATCAATCATAATGATATTTCGACTTGAATTTAAAAGTAACCAGCATGTGTTATATTGTACAAAAATACATAGAGGATATTGAATGAGTGTAAGTTCAATTCTGAATTTATTGCACGAGTTGAATAAAATTATATTATGCGAGCCTTTGGCGAGCATAATATTATTTTATTCAACGAGTGCAATAAATTCAGTAATGAACTTACACGAATTTAATATTCTATTTATCACATACCCAAAATAAAGACCGTTTAAAGTGAAATAAGAGTCATTTTCCGTTGACACGCCTACAGTAGAACGCTAACATAAAGCGCGTCTTTACACTATGTTTGCATAACGCTAATGACGTCACGTCAAAATATATGCACGGCCGTGCAATACCATATTTACGGAGTCGCAAAATCGGCACGGGTGTGTGATAAAACACTTTACTAATAACTGAAACGTACAAATCAAGCAGCACGTTTTTCAGATACTATGGCTCTAAGTGGTTGTTTGTATTTATAACCCGAGCCGGTGGGCACGGTTATAAATATCGCATACAACCGTTTCAATATGTCGCTTTGAAATCACTTATAAATTGAAAGCAGCCAAGTTAACGCCATGAGTATCCAGTTGCATTACAAACGTGCAGTGTTCTTATACATACATAATTATTCTAACATTTTCCCTATTGAATATAGAAGAACCGGAAATGTTATTTAAGAAATAATATATACCAAACTGTGATTTTATTGCTCAATAACATCACTGTTTGGAGTTCGGATGCGGGGAATTATATCATATATTCAATCTTTATTTTAGACTCATCAATGTACATACATACAACAATATACATAGAACACATATAACATGATTTAAAAAGTACATTTCCACTCATATATTGAGTTATAAGAGACTTGAGTAACAATTCAACGAATAACAAGATTGCATTTGAGAAAAATGCTATGCCACCGCATTAATACAACACTAAATAGTAGTGTAGGAACATATTTTTTTTTTGTTTCTATACAATTGAAGATTGTCATAATGCATAGATCCCTGACCTATCTAATTCTTATTATCAGATTAGTGATTAAATCTATTATTAATCAAATAAAAGATCAGAGCAGGAATATATCAATGGCGAGAATGCACTTGAGTCTAGTGAATTTGGTAGTGAAGGTCATATTTCACACAGCCTAAATTTCATGACTACATCAAAGGACAACACAGTAAGACACTTTGTCAAAATCTAGGTAAGCTGATATCAAAGTCCACTTTAC